TTAGGAACTTCAAATATGAAATTTCAAATAAGTTCGGTGAATATTGCACCTAAAATCTAAAAATATAGATATAAGCAACACTGATATATGGGGGCTATACGAAGACCTGGACCTGCATATACAATTTTTGTCATAGATTGTAGTACCCATTACGACTCTAAAACCAAATATAAACAACTCCGGTGAATAATGTCCCTGAAATCTTCAAAATATCAAATATCGAGGGGCACCGTTGTGTGTGGACCTATATAGATATTTCTCTTCCGGTACTATCACCTTTTGTGGATTTTCAGACCATTTCATTGATAAATGTGGCTAAAATCATCAAAATACCTAATATTAGGTGGTACCGTTATATGGGGGCTATACGATATCGTGGACCGATATAGCCATCTTAAAATTTGACCTGCCTACAGACAAATGTGCAACATTTTAGCTTCCTATCTTTATTATTTTGGTTTTACATAGTTTTATTTTGTAATATTATTTTGTGATTGCTTTATATAAAAGAAACCATGAAGGGGTAAAGTGGAATGCACCTATCGGCAAACCGATTGCTACCTTTTACAGTGTTATTCGTTAATCGTTCAACCTAAGTTACTCAATTTCTAATTGTTAAAACGATTAAACTACAGAAGACCCGTATCACAAACGTTGTAACAATTAACGTTTTTTGTGATGACGTATTTATGTTCAATTAATAAGATCGTCATTGTGCAGCTATTATTTGATATCATAAACAGATAATTGTGTGAGAGATGTTTCAATAAACAATTTGACGATAATCAGTGTTGGCATTACAACAGTCGTCGCTTAAAAATTCGCATTTGAAATGAAGTTTAGGTTTCACATTGAATGCCTCGAAATACCTCTGAAAACCTTAGCTGTCGCTACAAAATTGAAAGATCACATTTAATGGCTATCGGTGTTCTCTGAAAACATTTTTTTAATTTATGGCTATTTTTGTATGAAATGTTTTTTCCATGAAAGTCATGAAAATGTAAATTATAAAATCAACAAAAAAGAGATGAGAAAACAATACCCGTTATAACAATGTAACGAGAATAGTTTTAAAAAAATACTTCCATATATTACAAGTGATGTATGGCGGTTTTTTTTTGTTGTGTGAAAATAATTAAATTTTGAAAATGTTTTCAGATCCATGTGTGTAAAATCTCTGGCAGTGTAAACCATGGTGTGTATCACAGCTAATAGTAAATAAATCGCAAAACTTCTGTAAACAGGTAGTTGAATGACGTGCATCATAATGATCCGAAATTTATCAGGAAATCTTTGAGTCCATTCTTAAAGTCTTAAAAACGTTCCTAATAAAATTCACTTGTTGTTTTTACTATCTATATTAATGAAATAGTAAAATAATTAACAGATTGATTACCTTTTTAAGTGAGGGTCACTCTTAGCCCGAAGGGGTCAGATAAGACTGGTTTTTGGTAATTCGTACTAGAACGGTACGAAAAGTATTAAATAAATATGGTACCCTTTGTATTGAGAAAGAAGTAGAGCTAGAGCTTTTAAATTTAGAATAAGGATCACAGATGGAGTGCATGATAGATGTACCAAAGCGTTTTGGAAATTCGGCCGGGCCGAACTTTTAATACCCTCCACCATTTTCAAGGGTTTTTGTCATGGGCTATAGTATCGATTCCAAATTTGAAATACGTAATTTGAAACAATTCTGTTGAATAATGCCACTAATATCGTCAATTTTGAAACTATTCCGGTGATTAATGTTGCTTATATCATCAAAAAACCGGATAAAGGGAGGTGCCGTTATATGTGGGCCTGTGGACCTGCATAGACAATCCTTGCATAAGTTGCAGTACTCATTATGAGCACAATTCCGGTCAAAAATGTCGCTAAAATCATCAAAATACCGAATATCGGTGGGGTACCGTTGTATGGGGGATATACGATATCGTGGCAACTACAGACGGTAAAACACCTCTCTTACAGTCGGTAAAATACCCACAAAGAACACTTTCTGTACACTTTCAGACAATTTCGTTGGAAAATGTGAATAAAATCATCAAATACCGAATATGGGAGCCATGCGATATCGTGGACCTATATAGACAATTCTCTTCCAGGGAGTGAAGTACTCAGAAGCAACTCTTGGTGTGGATTCTCAGATAATTCCATTGAAAAAATTGGCTAGAATCATCAAATTACCGAATATCGGGAGATACTTTAATATGGGGATATACGGTATCGTGGGCATATATAGACAATTCCCTTCCAGGGGGTAAAATACTCAGAAGGAACTCCTTATGTGTATTTTGAGAAAATCCATTTAAAAATGTGCCTAAAATCATCAAAATACCGAAAATCATGGGGGCTATACGTTATCGTGGACATACATAGACAATTCTCTTACAGGCGGCAGAGTACCCACAAATAACAACTTTGTGGACTTTCAGAAAATTCCATAGAAAAATGTGCCTAAAATCATCAAAATGTCGAATATCGGGGGTACCGTTACATGGGGGCCATACGACACGTAGACCGATGTAGTTTATCTTCGAACTTGACCTGCTTGGACACAAAAGACTGATCTGTGCAAAATTTTAGCATCCTATCTTAGTTCGTTTTGAATCTAGCGTGTTTCCAACGGGCGGACGGACAGGACTAAATCGTCTTAGAATTTTACTCTGATCAAGAATATATACAGGGTGAGATAAAACAACTGCAACAAAGTCAAACGCCATAATTTTTATTTTTTTTTTTAATTTAATTTAATAAATGTCAGAAATAGCATCAAATTTTAGAATAAGTTTAGATTTGTTCGAATTGTTCACCTTTGACATGAATTATGGCCTTCAAACGGCCAATGAAATCGTCACACGCTGCCCAAGGCTTTAATACATTATCCAGAATATTTTCGCGATAATATTCGGTATTTATTTTGTGCCACGGTCGATTAATACGAGCGGAGAGCGACCATCGGCTGTTATGGCGGCTCACACCATGGCCAGCGCTTGAGTTCTGGTGGCCAACCGAAGGTGCACATTTTCAGCTGACCTCTTTGGCAAGTAAACACGATAATTTTGTTTGTTTACAAACTGCTGGACAACGAATGTTTTCTCATCGGAGAAAACCAAATTTGGCAGCTCAACACTTTCGGCCAAGCGGAGCAACTCTTTAGCTCTTTTGAGTCTCTTTTCTTTCTATTGCGGTGTAAGTTCTTGCACTTTTTTGAATTTCAATGGCTTTACCCTGAGCTCATTTTTCAATATTGTCGAATGGAATATTGCGATACGTTCAGCTCACGAGCCATTTTTCGGCCACTGCGACGAACCATTTCTGCTGATGTTGCTGTTTTCTTCCTACGAGACACGAAAGATTTATTTACATTTAAATGCTAGAGTGCTCTAACGATAGCCACTTGCCAAAATATAGAGAAATCACACTATCACGCTTGAATTCCATCACGAATAACTCCTTTTCTGGAAAATTCTCACCAAAATGCTTTTGTACGCTTGTAAACAATATAATGAGCTGTCACTGGGATAACAGCTTTTAACAGCTGTCGGACGAGTGGCTTGCAGTTTTTTTGTCTCACCCTGTACACTTTGTTATGTCTAAAGTTATTATTTCGATGAGTTACAAACGCAATGACGAACTTAATATACCCTCCATACTATATATATCAATGTAAGCAGGTAGTTTTGGAAGTATACGAAAAGTACTAAACGTTATTAAATTTAGTAAAATTTGAAATTGGAGGAACGGATGGCGGTAAAGGGTACTAGATTTAGTACAAATTAAATTTTTGGTGAACTGGTAAGGTTGGAATCCTGAAATTTGGTAGTACATACATTGGGTATTGGGTGAAGGGATAGAGATAGAATTCAGAAATTTGATATTTAGATTACTGACAGTATTTGTGTTTGAAGTTTGGCGGTGGCTTGGAAATGCGTACTATAGTTGTTCGTAAAGTACTAAATTGGCATTGGGTGGACGAATAGAACTGAAATCGTGAAATTTTATATTGCGATAAATATAACAGGATTGAGATATGGAACGGTTTTGCAAATGAGTACTAAAATGATATTTATATAGTAATAAATGTTACTAAATTTCATATTGAGTGAATGTATAGAACTGGGATTCCGAAATTTGATATTGAGGTCTCTGTTGGTATTTGGTGGGGGTTTTGCAAATGAGTACTATAATAGTTCGAAAATTAGTAAATGGTTCTAATTTTAGACCATTATTGTTGTCTAGAAGGGTAGATGTAGATTGTTTGGATATGCGTACTAAATGTAACTAAACTTCTCAAAATTTGGAGAATATCACTTTATTTTTATTCAAAAAGTTTGACACAATTTTTGGGAAAGATCGGAAGGGTTTCCAATATTTTCTATTCTCGCAAGTCGCTTTAGCCCGATATAGTTTATCTTGCAAGTTTGGAATATATCAGGCACTATATGGGAAATGTATATGAATCTAATCTGCGAGTTTTCAGCTCTTGTGGGGAGATACCAGAACCGTTCCGTCATGTTCTCTCTAACCTAAGGCGGATTCAATTATTGAGACATTGAATGTGTTGAAATTTTGTGTAGAAGGTACAAAAGGTGTGGACCGATTTTGCCCATCTCCGAACTCTATCTAAGTTTAATAGAAAATTAAAATCTAGATTTTAGATGACTCCAAATGTCCTGAAACCGTTATTCCGATGAGGCACATTTTGCCATATATTTATTCAACATTCCAAGGTTGGGCAAATCTAATTTTTTAAATTTCTACTTTACAAATTCCAGGTAGCTCTGTTCCCACCGATGAAGCCTCCAATGATGTTGAATCCAGTCCCGATGATGATCGCAGTTTCGCCTGTTCCGACTTCATACACATGAAAAAAGGACCTGAGAGTGATCGGAAAAGGTACCATTATAGTGACGAATATATACAATTTTGTAGGTATATTAAATGTTTTTCCTTGTCTACAGCACCGATGATGAAGGCCATTCGGATCATGATTATCAGAAAAACCCCACACTACAGTGCATGGACAAAGTCGAGGCCAAAGAAAGGATAAAGAAACGACGTCACCGCATCAAGTTGACCAAACGTGTTGGTCTAATGATATTTTGGTTATTTTTCGGCAATTGTTTTTATGGTTTTCGAAGAGAAACATTTGCTTGAGAAGACCTTAGAAGTGCCCGCCAACAGGGAGAAGAGTAAGTGGTTAAGGACTTTTTGAGTGGCTGAAACAGAATAATTATATTTTTTTTATTGCTACAGACTTCCTGTTACTTAACAAACCCACCGGAGATTTTAAACTGACCATTGCAGGACATTTCAATGAATCAATTTACAATTCAAATGAAACCGAAAATATTTTAACAATCCAACCGCAGATATCGGTATTTTGACAATGAAACGAATTTGAGTGATTTTAAGGTAAGGCGTTGCAAGTGATATTGATTTAAATAAAATTTTAATTAACCTTGAAAATACACACGATTGATTTAAATTGAAATTGTTCCCAAATTACCAGCATATCTGCTGCCACGATTTAATAAATAGTTAATATTGAAAAAAATTAAAAAAAAATCCTTAAAAAAGTAAACAACTTTTTCGCTAAGATTCCTTTAAATATTGCTAGAAACCATTAACCATTATTTTACCTAGAGCCTTTATTATGTATTTCTCTGAGGGTCCTACCTTAATATCTAACAAGTACAAAAGTATCAGTCGGTTTTGCCGACAGATGGCAATGTTCGATTACTTAAAAATATCTTGACTTCTGTTTTGATTATTCAAAGAGCTGACCCTCTATGGAATTGGTTCCGAAGGAATGGACCAGTATTGTCCATTTCGCTTCGGACCTAAATAAATATGAAATCGGACCTAAATATACACGAAAAATATAACATTTTTATCCAATTTATATGAAATTATAAATTCTATATTCATTACAAGTTTCAGGTTGAGAGAAATATTTAGATAAAGTTGAAGTAAAGTGTTAAAGCATTAAAAATTGTGGGTGAGGTACCAGAATATATACCATCTACACAACAGATGAAGTAAAAATGTTGTATGTGTGAAATTTGAAGACAGTTGGATGAGCGTTTGTTTTTCAAAAATCTTGACCCTATCAGAGGAATTGGCCCGATCTCTACCATCTTTCTAACAGATCAATAGAATCGGATGATAATTTCGCGATTTATGCGCTTCATGAATACTCAAAATTTTGACCCTTTGTGAGTGAGGTGTCAGAAGGAGTGGACCGATAATTCCATCACACAACAGATCTTGTGTTAGTAGACAATAATGGGATGACTGGACTATAAAGATAATCGTATGCCGATTCGGACTTTATAAACGTTTTGGTTTTTCAAAACATTGACCCTTTGTGTGCGAGGTTCCAGAAAGAATGGTTCGATCTTTATAACATATCTGTGTTGATAGAAATATGAGATGTGCCAAGTCTGAATGGAATTGGATGTTAATTTCGCATTTTTTGAGCTTCATTGGTATTGAAAATGTTGACCCTTTATGGGGGAGGTACCAGAAGGAGTGGACCGATGTATTCCATCTTCACACCAGACCTTGGGTTAATAAACGTATTGTAATGTGTGCAATTTGAAGACAATCGGACTCTTACATCAATTTTATACGAGTTAAAATGATTCAAATTTGACCCTTGTGAGGAGGTACTTGATGGAGTGGGACGACATTGTCCATTTTGCACCTGACCTTAATAAAATTATTAGGATGTGTGAAATTTGAAGAAAATCGGACTTTTAAATCACATTTTATAAGAGTTGTAACTATTCAAAATTTGGAGCCTTTGTGGGGGAGGTACCTGATGGAGCGGACCGATATTGTGCATTTACACAGATGACCTCGCACTGATGCAAATATTAATATTTGCAAATTTTCGAGCAAAATAGGATAATCCTTTCTCTTTATGTGCAGTAAATATATATATATTTTTTTTGGAAATTTCGAATTTTGTGGATGTGGATACCAGAAGGAGTGGACCAATATTGCCCATCTCCGAACTCGATCTAAGTTTGATGAAAATATTACCATATACCAAGTTTGGACCACATCGGATTCTCCCGTCGAAAGTTATCGTGCGCACCAGCCAGCCAGCCAGACAGACGGACGGACGGACATCACTAGATCAATTCCAAATGTCCTGAATTAGATTCGAACTTAACTGCTGTTTTACTTGTAGTACTCAAAATGCATAATCTGTTCAGTTTGGCAACATTTTTAAATCAAATCTTCATTCATCGTTCCAAATTTTAAGACCTTCAAGGTTTTATATACTATTCATGGGAAAATGTTTACATTTTACACAAAAAAGTGTGCAATATCATTCATTTACCTAGGAGGATATTAATAAAACCATTGCAAAATGGACCCACATTCAATTTTTCTGTCCAAACTGTTTCGACATATACGGGTTTACATATGCACACGTTGAAACAATTTTTTTTAGAAACCAACAGTGACCTCAATTTCAAATTTTAGGATTTCAAGTCTATTCCTTCACCCAATACCATATTAAGTACTCTTCGTACATTCATAGTACACATTTCGAAAATCATTTCCATATCTCAATTCTAGATATCAACAGTCATTTCAATATCAAATTTGAGCCCTATCACTTCACCCAATACCAAATTAAGTGCCATTTAGTACTTTTCGTGTAATATTAGTATTCATTTGCAAAAGCGGTTCCACAACTCAATTTTAGACAACAACAGTTAACGCAATATAAAATATCATGTTTTAAGGTCTATTCCTTAACCTAATACCAAATTAAGTACCATTTAGTACTTTCGTACAAATAATGAACGCATTTCCAAACCACCGCCAAATCTCAAACATGGTATCAGTAATTTTAATATCACATTTCAGAATTTTATCTCGATCCCTTTACCCAATACCAAATATAGCATCATTCAGTACTTTTCGTACAATTATAGTACACATTTCCGAAATCACCTCCATATGTCGAGCCTACACATAAACAGCGACCCTAACACCAAATTTCAGATCTGAATCACTGTCTATTCACGCAATACCATATTGTACCAAATATAGTACTATTTAGTACCTTTCGTCTAGTACATATTTTCTACATCACAAACCTACCACCAACAGAGACCAGACAATCCAGTGATGCATCTATTAGTGACGCTCATTCCAAAGGTAGCTTATTCTTAATACCCTTTTAGTACGAATTTCCATGCCCATCTTCCTTATTACATGCCCACGCACCAAGACTGGCAGTCGTGCAAAATTTCGAGATTCTAGTTGCAGCCGTTTCGTCTGGGCGTTAATTCTCGGTCAGTTAGTTATTTCACTACTCTTTTATGTTCTCCTACAGGTTCACATCTACAAAGTGTATTAAAAAATATTTCTTAAAGAATCCCAAAATTTATTATTTTAAAAATCAGCGTCTACACCTCTGAGAATTCTTTCTAAAAAATCCATAAATATGTATTTTCAAACCCGGGACTACAACTCTCTCTCTTTTTGGTACTCTGGAAATTGCTTTAACAATGTTCAGAATTTAAAAAAAAAAATATTAAACAAGTAAGCAAAGGCTACAGTCGAGCGCGGCCGACCGTTGAATACCCAACAACACTATAATAAACCATACAGTTTATATAGGCGAGATACTCGAAGAATTCCACAAGATATTGTTGCAAATAATAAAAGAAAACCATCAGGTTTCGTTCTCTAATTTTCGAATAATAGCAACTTAAACTAATTTGCTCATTTCCAAATTATTGGTAGATGTTGCACTTAAATGGTCTTCCTAGATCTGGAACCAATATTTCCCAAAGACCTATAATCTCTCAGAAGTGGCAAAAGATTAACATTTATTATTGGTTTTTGACTGAAACGCATCTATATGAGATACAGACATTTGACTATATTCTTCAACAAAATCAGCGTTAACGAAATAGTCAGAAGTGCGTCTTTCCTGTATTTGTGAATTCTCCAAAAAGTCACTGGAATGGACATTTTCGTATTTTGTCTACAAAAGTTGGCAAACTCCTTCACACATTGAATATATTTGATGGCCATCCAAAACTGCTTGGCTTTTGCAATGACCGGTAACCCCCATTCAAATGTGCGTGAGGACCGGGCGATAATTACGACCTGCTGACAATTTTGCAGTTTTGGTCCATTTCAACCCAAAATATATGGCGATCATCTCCAAAAAGAGTAGACTTCTATTCTGACCCTCATCTTATCCCCATGCAAAATTTCGTAAGGATCGGTCCATAAATGCGATCTGTATATGATATCCTGATATCCTAACTACTTAGTTTTGTTAGCTGTAGAAATATTACCAAATGTTTAATTCAAAATGAAAATATGACAAAATTGAAAAATATGAGAGAGATATTTTTATGCAATTTTTAGAAGTTTTTTTTTTCCTGCCAAGAGGCCATTCTGAATTAATGAGAACCGTCGAATCAGTTCAGCCGTTCTCGACATATATGAGATCTTTCAAGCATATCTTCTTTGATAGACATATATATATCGCTATATATCCGTTTTGTTGGATGTTAACATCAATGTAAAGATCAGAAGTAACCTTGTCATGGCTTTGTGATTTCGCCGGGATTTAAAATATTCGCGGTTTAATGAAAAATGTTGAATTTTTTCAACAAAAAAGATATTTTCTATTTTACCCGCTAAATATTATCCGATGACCACCCAAATTGGTAGGCTTTTTCCCCGCCCTAAACTCTAGCTACATGTGAAACTCCGCGTCGATTGGTCTATAATTGCGACCTGTATAGCTACTGCAAAATCCGACATTTTTACAGAATTTGGTACATTTCAACCCCCTAAATATTATGCGATCATCTCCAAACGAAATAGGGTTCTATTCTGACCTTAACCCACCTCCATTCTAAATTTCGTGAAGATCGGGCCATAATTGCGACCTGTAGAGTGATTACAAATTAACATGGACAGACGGACAGACGGACGGACGGACATATATAGCTAGATCGACTCAGCTCGGCGAGCTAGGAAGATCCATATATACTTTCCTATATGGGAAACCAATATTTCGAGGTGTTACATAAATTCTGGCCCAATCAAACTTATAATACCCCCAACACATAGTGTTGTAGGGTATAAAAACATTTCCAACAAATTTGACAATTAAAGAAATTAAAAATATACGATTTGAATTTGTGAAAACGTTCAAACTCAAAACGATGATGCTGTTCCTAATATTCAGATATTTATTTCCTCATATTCTCTATTGTTAAGTCCATAGTCTTCATATTTTATCTTTTGTATGGAAACGTAAATTCCGAACAGAAGGTGTTCATTAGTTTATTTATCTCTCCATTTATTTACAGGACATATTACACCCATGGTTTATACCATTGGTGAACGAAGACTTGTTCGATTATGCGCCAGTGGTTTCACGTAATTTGACCTTTAAATTACCTGATGATTTGCTGGATGAAATTGGAGAGGACGATACCCAGGTACGCCTGCAGATGACTACCAATATTGAAACGGATATAGCCATCAAAATGACATACAATCCTTTGATAATAAACGTCAAGACGGGAACATTGCTGGCTGCCGCCATACTTTTGCTGTTCTATTCGTTGCTGGTGTGGGAGGTGAGTAGTGTGCCACAGGCGTAGGTGTCGGTTGACAATGAAAAGGAAATTGAATCCTATGTTATTAATGATTTTTTTTCTCATTAGGTCTTTGAACGCACCTTTGTGGCCATTGTATGTTCGACGTTGTCGATAGCTGTGTTGGCCTGTTTCAATGATCGCCCCAACATGGAAGAAATTGTCAAATACATGGACATGGAATTGCTGACGCTGCTCTTCTGCATGATGATTTTAGTTGGCATCCTAACGGAGACGGGAGTTTTCGATTACATTGCAGTGGTGGCATTTGAGGTGTCCCAAGGCAAAGTGTGGCCCATGATTTATAGCCTGTGTCTGATGACATGTTTTGTTTCGAGTTTTTTGGACAACATGACAACGGTGATTCTATTGACCCCCGTTGCCATACGTCTGTGTGAAGTAATGAGTTTGGATCCGGTGCCAGTGTTATTGGGTATTATTGTCCATGCCAATATTGGTGGGTCATTGACACCCATTGGAGATCCAATTAGTATCATTATATGCTCGAATAATTTTATTGCCTCAAATGTAAGATAGGGGGATGGAGGGGTAAACATATATTAATTTAATATTTTTTCATTAATTTATTAGGGTGTAACCTTTATGAAATTTGTTGGTCACACCATACCCGGTGTCATCTTAACCGTCCTTCAAAGTTGCATTTATCTACGTTTGATATTCCGCAACATCGATTCGTTGCGTTTGAATGAACCGAAGGAAATAAAAGACTTGCGTCGTGAAATTCGTGTCTGGCATAAGGCAGCCAAATCGATATCTTCCTTTTCCAAGGATGCTGATGTGGTAAGGGAAACTTTGCTCAAGAAAGTTCGTATTTTGAAACATCAGCTAAAGAGGAAATTGAATGGTTTGGACACAACCGAAGCCTATGTCCACACGTTGGAAGATTTGAAAGTTAAGGTAAGTGGCGGAACTTTAATCTTTATTTTTACGTGAGAGACATAGCACTTTTTGGAGGCATATTATACAAAGAAGCCCAATTTGAGTACCTCTATACATGAAGATATAATTATTTAAGGTTTTAATTGACCGCTGAAGAAGACTATTTGCAGATCTTTTACTATATATTAAATTCTCCCCAGTTTATGGAGCCCATCGGTACTTAGAAACCCCTTCTAATGTCTTCTATAAATGGAAGGCCGCTGGAGGTATTTTAGTGTGGTTGACTCTTAGTCGATAGCCGGGACATCTCCAGAGTATATGTTCGATAAAACTGTGCGATAAAATTAAACTCTTACAAAATTACAGAAAAAATCTTAGAAAATGAATCTTTATGAATGAAAAGAAATCGGACGTTTCCTTGATTCAAATACTAATTTACAATCTACAGGGTGACATAAAAAATTGCAACAAAGTCAAACGCCATCATTTTTACTTTCTTTTTTAATTTTATTGAATGAAAAAAAAAAAATTTCGGAAATAGCTTCACATTTTAGAATAAGTTAGATTTGATCGATTTTTTCACCTTTGGCACGAATTATGATCTTCAAAAGGCCAATGAAACCGTCACACGCTGCCCGAATGTTGCTCTGCGGTATTTTGGCCCATTCCCGACGAAGCGCTTGCTTCAACACTTTGGTATTTTTAGTGGCAACCTTGCTTTCCAAAATACTCCAGACACAATAGTCCAACGGATTAATATCCGGAGATTTTGGTGGTCATTGTGCGCTGGAAATGAAGCGACGAACCTCATTTTGTAACCAATCTTGGGTGACGCGTGCTAAGTGCGATGGTGCTGAGTCCTGTTGCAATGTGCACTGTCTGCGGCCAAAATGTTTGCGTGCCCAAGGCTTTAATACACCATCAAGTATGTACACGATTTGAAGGTAAACGAAAAGTTTGAGGGTAGTCTTCGAATATTGACCAGTGAGAAAATAAGGAAATATGATGTTAGTGTTTGTATTAATGTCGGAGTTAGGAAATTGTCGAATTGTCGATAATTAATGGTCGGGGCTGACAGCTGGAAGATAATCAGGGTTCACGATATTGCTGTCCAGCTCTTCTGATACCGATCGGAAACTCCCGGTATAACAGTTCGGTAACGGCAGATCACAGTAGAAATATTTGAGAGCAGATGCTCAGGCTTTCTAAGATGAGTCGGAGAACTCGTTCGGGTCGTCTACAATGGTTAGGATATTGGTCTAGCTACCACAACATTATACGACTGCCTCTAATTCATTATAATGTCAGATACGGCACGTATATTTCGCCAATAAGAAGTTCGGCCAATTTCAGTCCAAATGTCCCGACTGCATTCAGTCTAGAAGCAAGTACATCAATTGGAGAAAATTTAGCTATAGCTCCCATATATATGTTTCATCCGATTTGGGGTTTTAAGTCCCTCACATGCGTAATATGCACTCCACAAGAATGATATTTGGTACCGGACATCAGATACTGCTCGAAAACACGTATGCCAAATTTTATCAAGATCGGTTCAGATCAGCATATGTCGCCCATATGTATCTTTGTTCGATATTTGGTTTATTGTGTAGTCCAAATGACCTGTATTTTGGCATATCCGACCGAATTCAGTCTAGACATTAAATTTGGTGAAAATCGATTCAGATATAGCTATATAACGGTATATATAGCTATTTCGGGACGTACGTTTCCAATTGGCGGAACTCGGCTCCGATATATATTTTTTTAATATAATCCTTCTTGAAGTGATATCATGTACTCTATAGCCATGTTACTGGTACAGGATAAAAATGTCTCCGTCAAATTTAGAGAAAATCGATTCAGAATTGGATATGGCTCCCATATATTAGTTCCCTCTGAAACCAAATTACAACTACTCTAAAGCCGAATGTTGATAGGTGGTATGATCTACTTCAAATAAATTCTTTTGTTACGGGAGCTCTACTAAATATGCATAGTGGTGTAGGGTATCTTATAGTCGGCCACGCTCGTGTTTTGACTTTTACATACTGGCAATCCATAAGATAATTTTTTTTAAAAAATTTTGATTTTTTGTGGTGAAGTTCCAGAAGTCGTGGGCCTACCATGGCCTTCTTCGAACTCGACGTATGACAAGGAGACTTAGGATCCATAATTTTTACTTCGACAAGGCTCAGTTAGACCTATAAAATGAACTGAAATTCTTTGATGTAAACGAGAGTTTGTGAATGTATTGAAGTTTGACCTATGCCGAATAACTTCTTCTGGATTTTTTATACTTCTAATAATACCTTCTATCCCCATAAAGGACATTTTACTATCATGGGTATTTATCTATTCACATTTATACGAAATTGTTGGCAAACATTATATCGTCCTTTTAAATATATTATATTTACATTTAACTCTCACGCCCTCACCTCCATCATTTTTATTTCTTTCTTCCAGTATCCCATTAAAAATAAACTTTTACTGGCTCAGGCGTGCTGCGCCCTGGTTTTCGTCATTATATGTTTCTTCATTCAATCTGTGCCACAGTGGCGCACCCTACCCCTGGGCTGGGTGGCTCTACTGGGTGTAATTGCTCTTCTGATTATACTCAATCGAGAGGACATGGAACATTTAATGCATCGCATCGAGTGGACAACGTTGCTCTTCTTTGCCGCCATGTTTGTAATGATGGAATGTGTTGAGCGGTTGGGACTTTTCGCTTGGATTGGCGAAGTTACCGAGCATGTCATTTTGTATGTGGACAAAAAGAATCGTCTGGCCATGGCCATATTTATCATTTTATGGATGTCCGCATTGGCATCGGCAATTTTGGACAGCATACCGGTAACGGCAATGATGGTCAAAGTGGTGGTATCATTGGTAGCTAAGGAGACATTGGGGCTGCCATTGGAGCCGTTGGTGTGGGCATTGGCTTTTGGTCCATGCTTGGGCGGTGAGTACAACTATTTCATATTATTGTCCCAAAAGATGAAATGTTCTTTGACATAAATGTGACCCAAAGGTTAATAGAGCGAAACCTCTTACAAGTGGACACATAAGTGATGCCACCACCACTTGTGAAAGGTTATTCGAAAGAAGATTTTCCACACATGAAAGTGTATACCTGTAATTTATTATTTTCATTTCTACGTTTGCTTTTTCATTCCAGGCAATGGCACTCTCTATGGAGCTTCAGCCAATGTACTATCCGCTGGCATTGCCGAGCAACATGGCTATAAAATTTCATTTACCAGATACTTGAAGTAATTATTATTGATTTCCTTTTGATTACATTTCAGATAATGCCATGGAAATTTTTGATTTATTTTCAGAATTGTTTTCCCCATGATGTTGGGTCAAATTTCAATTATCACCGGTTATTTATTTGTCTCCCATATCTTATTCGAGTGGCACTAAAAAGAAGACTCCCTCCCCAACGATTCCAGGCATTGCAGCTGGTCTTAGGAATTTGTGTGATTTTGAAATACGAGGAATGACTTAATTTTATTTATTGTGAATTGTATTTACAACGTATGAAAGAAAGAGAGAACGGAAAACGAGAAGAAGACAAAAAATCAAATGAATTTATTCGTATAGTATAATGTTTATATTATTCAATGTGTTGTTTATTATTATTAATATTATTAAATTTACTCTAAATGTGTAATAAACGAATTTGAGAATTTTAAAAATTTGCTTGAGTTTAAATTACATTGAAATTGTGGTTTGGGTAAACTAGATTAGTTGGTACAGTATTTGTAAGAAAAGCTGAGCATACATCATCCAACGAGAAAGCAACGTTACACGGCTAATGAGTTCGACAACTCTCGGAAGGTGTATCGAATTCGCTCCAATTTGATACATCATAATATTAAATAATATATTAAACCAGTAAGGAAGGCTCAAAAGTCGGTCGGGCCGACACTATGCATATTTAGTAGAGCTCTCGTAAAAGAAAGGTTTATATGAGGCATTTCTGAGCTCTATGAGTATCTGGTACAAAATATGATTATGGTAGGGTGCATGTTCCGAAAGTTGAAGATTTAAACACCAAATCGGATGAAACATATATATGGGAGCAAATTAGAAATTCTTGCTTCTAGGCTGAATTCGGTTGAAGTGCGAAAACTCATTTGGACTAATATTAGCCTTTTGGTGCAAAATAGACCTGAAATCGGGCGAAGATATATAGGGAAGCTACATCCAAATTTGATCCGATTTGAATTATGTATTGCTAGGCTGAATCTTTTATCTGGTACCAAATTTTTTATAGGGTGTATATTACGAATTTAAGGGACTTATAGTACGTTTATGTTGTAAGGGATTTAGAAAACCCAGTCGGCTTAAATTGTCAATTCCATTGCCTATACCTCAAATAAATCTTCATAAAGAAGGTTAATCCTTGAAAAAACTCTAACGTAAACATGCCTTTAAACACCAAAATTGGATGAAAAATAAATATAAGAGCTATAGCTATATCTGAACCGATTTCCACCAAATTTAAAGTATTTATTTCTATGCTAAATTCGGTCAGAAGTGCCAAAATTCACACCATTTGGACTCATATTAGGCATTTGTGCACAAGAAACGGATGAATATGGGAGCTATATCCAAATCTGAACCGAACTTGATAAAATTTGATCTATGAATTGCTAGGCTGTATCTGACATCTGGTGCTAAATATCAGTCTTGTGGAGTGCATATAACGAATGTAAGGGACCTAAACACCAAAATCGGATGAAACATATATATGGAAGCTATAGCTATGTCTGGACCGATTTTCACCAAATTTGAAGCACATGCTTGTAGGCTGAATTCGATCGGATGTAGCAAAATTCACACCATTTGGACTGACATTAGCCATTTGGTGCACAAGAAACCTAAAATCGGATGAAGATATATCTAAATTTGAACCGATTTTCACTAATTTCAATATCCTTGAGTCAAACAAATATTATTTAGAAAATTTCATCTCAATCGAATAATAAATGTGTTTACAAAAATACTTGGACGGACGGACTGACGGACGGACATTCATAAATCGACTCAAAATTGTGTTTCTATGCTGATCACCAAAAGGAACTATGGGTGTATCTCGTTTCCTTCTCCATGTTACAAACAAATCGGAGCTATATCCAAATCTAAACCGATCTCGATAAAATTGGGCAAAGATATTTCTGAGCTGTATTTGATATATTTCCCTGAATATCGTTGTTACGGAGTGCAAATTACGACAGTGGGTAACAAATATAACAATTCGGATGAACAATATATATGGAAGCTGTAGCTATATCTGAACCGATCTTCACCAAATTGGACATACTAACTTCATTCGGTCGTAAGTGCCAAATTTCATACGATTTGGGCAAATATTAGACGTTTGGTGCACAATAAAAAGTAAATCGGACGAAGTTATATACGGGAGCCATATCCAAATCTGAACCGATCTTTTGCAAAGGTATTTCTGAGCTGTAGTTGATTTATTTCAAATTTGAAACAATTCCGTTAAATATTGTTGCTTAAATCGTCACAACACCGAATGTCAGAAGGCACTGTTTACTTTATTTGGGGGATTATGAACTTTTTTGGGACTATGTTTGGATTTTTCATTTATAAAAAGTGAAAATCGGGAAGCGGAAATATCAACCTAATCCGCCAAAGGTTACGTGATGCCATTAAAAATTAAATATTGGTTGTAGACCACGATTTTATGTATCTATCTACCTATCTCGCCGAGCTGGGTCGATTTAGCTATGTGTCCGTCTCTATATTTTTATTTGTAATCACGCTACAGGCCACAATTATTGTTTACCGAAAACCGAAAATTCAATTTGTCTGCCATTTGTCTTGCAATTGGAATACAAATAAGTTTGCTGAACAGGCTAATAATACCCTGTACCACAGTGTGGCGTTGGGTATGAGGAAATACGTAGAATTTGGGGGATATCGTTGAGACATAGTTATAGCATTTATATATGTATGTATTCCATCTAATTTAAGCTGTCCAAGCCCAATATGCATTTCATAGCAATGATTTGATTTTGATATAGTTCTGGTATATATTTTCATCCGCACTGAGTCAAAATAGGACGTATGAAATTCGAAACATTTTAATTGTATTTGAATTCTATTTGTAATTCTAATCATTCGAATTGTAATTCGAAAATTTCAATTGTAATTCGAACTATTTCAGTTAAAAACGGTGAATTTCAATTGTAACTCGACGTATTCCATATGTAATTTGAAAAAGGTGTAGTAAATATGCATAGTGGTGTAGGGTATCATCATGGGAAAATAAAAAGGTACGGAAGAGCTACCAGCTGTTTGAAAATAATCGGATGCTCATTTATATATAATTATACAAAACGTTGAACCGTTGCGGGGGAGGTACCAGAAAGTTTGAATCAATATCTACCATCTTCATCCTACATCTTGTATTAGTAGAAATATTGAAATATGTGAACTTTGAAGATAATCGGATAATTATTTTGCATTTTAAGAGAGTTATAATTCTTCAAAAAGTTGAACCGTACCAGAAGGAATGATCCGACAAATTCCAGCTTCACAACAGATCTTGTGTTGATAGAAATATTGAGATGTGCTGAGTTTAAAAGGAATCAGATGGTCATTTCGCTTTTAACGAACTTTATGGCCATTCAAAATTTTAACCACGTGTGGGATTTAATAATTATCATAGGAAATGTCAAATCTACAGGAAACTGCAATTAAGGATTAAGGGATTAAGCCTGACTATTTTGCAACAACAAAATACTATGGCATCTCGAACAAACAAAGCCAACACTGTTCTGGAAACTGCAATCTTTTAAAGTTGAACGGCATTTTTTTTTGATTCGAGGTACCAATACATATGATCCCAAATACTTTCCCGTAGTAATCGTAATCTCAATTATATTGTTGTGTACTTTTATACTCTACCCCACATAGTGGTAAGGGTATTACGTCTTTGTGCATTTGTTTGTAACAGGAAGAAGGAAGCGAGATAGATCTATAATTGCTGTTGAGGATCTTCATAAAATCACTTTCTGAGTCGATTTATGCATGTCAGTCCGTCCGTCCGTCCATGTATTCTTGTGAACCAAATGCAGGTCGCATTTATTATCCGATTGAGATGAAATTTTGCAAACAATAGTTGTTTGGCCCAAGGACGAACTCAATTATAATTGGATCAGATTTAGATATAGCTCCCATATAGATTCAACCAATTCCGGGTTAATTGTGCACCAAATGGCCAATATAAGTCCAATCAGAGATTTATAGCGTGTTTGGGAGCTATATCCAAATTTGAACGGATTTCAATATAATTTAATAAACTTTTAGACCAAATTCCAAAATGTCATTGAAATTGGAGATGTATAGCATGTCTGGTGTATCAAATGCATGAAATTGGACGGAAATGAATATGGGAGTTATATCCAAATCTGTACCGATTTCAATATAATTTGGCAAATTTATTTTTTTTAACAAATTCCGTCACTTGTTCTTAATTATTTTGGAATCGAACATACAAACACGATTGGTGTATCAAATAAACGAAATCGATCGAAAATATATATGGTATCTATATCCAAATCTGAATCGATTTCAATATAATTTGTCAAATTTATTTTCTGATCAAATCCGATCACTAATTCCAAATTTCATTAAAATAGAAAATACGAATCGTGTTTGGTGCATCAATTATGTGAAATCGGTCGAAAAAATATTTGGGAGCTATATTCAAATCTGATCCGATTTCAATATTATTTGGCAAATGTATGTTCGTTTTAAGGGTGAGATGAAAAAACTGCAACCAACTTCAGATTGCTGTCATTTCAAAGCCACTAGTCCAACAGCTGTTAAAATTATTCCAGTGACATCTCATTATATTGTTTACAAGCGTACAAAAGCATTTTGGTGAGTATTTTCCAGAAAGAAAGTTATTCGTGATGGCATTTAAATGTGAATACATCTTTTGTGTCTCGTACCTTCGCTCGTTACCGTGACCCTGGTGGCGTTGCTCGACGTTAAGGAAGTGGACGGAAGAAAACAGCAACATCAGCAGAAATGGTTCGAAAAGTAAAGAAGTAACTTGATCGCAGTGGCCGAAAAATGGCTCTGAGCTGAACATATCGCAATGTTCCATTTGGCAAATATTAAAAAATGAGCTCGGGGTAAAGCCATTGAAATTCAAAAAAGTGCAAGAACTTACACCGTAACAGAAAGAAAACAGACTAGCTTGGCCGAAAGTGGTGAACTGCCAAAAACATTCTTTGTCCAGCAGTTTGTAAACAAACAAAATGATCATGTTTACTTTCCAAAGAGGTCAGTTGAAAATGTGCACCTTCGGTTGGCCACCAGAACTCAAGCTCCGGCCATGGTGATGGTGTGGGCCGCCATAACAGCCGATGGTCGCTCTCCGCTCGTATTAATCGAACGTGGCATCAGAATAAATAGCGAATATTATCGCGAAAATATTATGGAGGGTGTATTAAAGCCCTGGGCACGCAAACATTTTGGCCGCAGACCTTGAACATTCCAACAGGACTCAGCGCCATCGCACTCAGCACGCGCCACCCAAGAATTTTTACAAAATGAGGTTCCTCGCTTCATATCCAGCGCACAATGGCCACCAAATCATCGGATACCAATCCTTTGGACTATTGTGTCTG